GGGTGGGGTGGGGCGGAGCGGGTTACAATTTCTGAAATGTTATTGTGGGGCGAGGCGGGGCGAGTTGCTATAGAAAACTTTTGGTTTCCCGTAATAGCTATCGAACTAAATAACAAACGAATGTGAAACAAATCCACCCCACCCGTATTGGAGTTCAATCCTTATCTTGTTGGTTATTCTCTCTTTTTGACGAATTGATCTAGGTTTTCCTTCTTTCCTTTTTTAATTTCTTTTTGTTCTCCTGTGTGATTATAAGTGTATTTTGACAAGTGGATTCTTTTTTGAATCAAGGTTAATTGCAAGAAAATTTTACAAAACATCAGATATTTTTATAAAATAATTACAACCAGTTAATGTAACTTTTTACTAAAATAAGTGGATGTTCCTAGTTTCAGTTTTATGAAACAGTACAATAAACTGTTACTGGAATAAAACTATTATATTGGAAAAGTAACGAACTCCCAATATAATTAAATTTTCCACAAAAATACTGAAACGTTAAACTTTTTTATTTTAGCAAAATAACAAATGGAAAAAAACTAAAGAAAACTTAAATGGTGCGGGGCGGGGCGGGTTGAAAATAGGAAAAATTTCTATGCGGGGCGGGGCGGGTTGAAATTTTGTGGGGTAAGCCTCAAACCGCCCCGCCCCACTGCCATCCCTAATTGAATGGAGAAGGATTTCTAGACTTATCACTACTTGATTTGTCTATTCCTAGCCGTGTCGAATCCTTATCTAAGTCCTTGCATGAGTCACCATCTCTTCAGTCACCTGAGCCTCTAAATCCCAATGAACACATTGAGTCTCCTAATCCTGATATAGACAAAGGAATTCAAGAAAATAATCCACCATTACAGGTTTATTCCAGAAGAAAGAGGCTACTGATCAAACTACTCAAGCGCAATTATCTCCTCGGATTACTTCTCCTAATACCTACCCTGAACCTGTTGAGCCATCAGAAACACCAAACTAAACTGATCATGAAGAACCTAACCAATCAAATGACCAACCAAATGACCTTGACCTTCCCATTGCAGTCAGAAACCAGAACCTGCACACAACACCCTTTGTGCCTTTCCTTGACATATCAAAACCCATCCACAAGTCATAAAGCTTTTCTCAGCAACCTCCACACAATTCCTATTCCAAAAAATATTGTCTGAAGCGTTAGGTACAAGGAGTGGGAACAAGTTATGAAGGTGGAATGGAAGCATTGGAGAAGAATAAAACTTGAGAAATGGTGGAATTACCAAAAGGGAAAAAGTCGGTAGGGTATAGATGGGTGTTTACAGTGAAATATAAGTCAGATGGGTCTATAGAAAGATTTAAAGCACGTTTGGTAGCAAAGGGTTACACACAGACCTATGGAATAGATTATTTCGAGACTCTTGACCTAGTGGCAAAAATTGAATACAGTGAGGATCTCATTGGCTGCAATTTTTAATTGGAAACTACAGCAATTTGATGTTAAAAGTGCTTTTCTACATGGAGATTTAGATGAGGAGATCTATATGGAGGTACCACCTGGTTTTGAAAGCAAGAAGGGAATGGTGTGTATACTGAAGAAGACGAAGGCACTCTACGGACTAAAGCAATCACCCTGTGCATGGTTTGGAAGATCTACAAAGGTTATGATCAAGCTAGGCTATCGGCAATGTCAAGGAGAACACACCTTGTTCATAAGGCACTCAAAAATAGGAAAGGTAACAGTGCTACTAGTCTATGTAGATGATATTATAGTAACAGGTGATGATTCAGAAGAGACACAAAATTTGAAGAATTGTTTACGCAAGAAATTTGATATCAAGGATCTTGGGAAGTTAAAGTATTTTTTGGAAATTGAAGTAGCACACTCAAAACAAGGAATCTTTATTTTCCAACAAAAATATGTGCTTGAATTGCCGGAAAAAAACAGGGAAATTAGGGTGTAAACCAGTAGCCACACCAATTGAATATAATCATGGATTGTGCAATGCTCCAGAAGATTCTCTGATAGATAAAGGCTCGTATCAAAGGCTTGTAGGGAAATTGATCTACTTGTCCCGTACAAGGCCGGACATTGCCTTTGTTGTAAGTGTCGTTAGCCAATTTATGCATGACCCTAGAAAAATGCATCTCCAAGCTATCAACAGGATTTTACAATATCTTAAAGGAAGTCCAGGAAAAGGAATACTCTTCAAAATAGGAGACATGGTTTTAGAGGCTTATATTGATGTGGATTATGCTAGTTCATTAGTGGATTGAAGGTCAAGTTCTGGATATTGCACTTTCTTAGGAGGAAATCTTATGACTTGGAGAAGTAAAAAACAAAATATTGTGCCCAGATCAAGTGCATAATCTGAGTTCAGATCTATGGCGATGGGAGTTTGTGAGTTGTTATGGTTACAGATAATCCTTGATGATTCGAAGATAAGATAGGAAGGACCTATGAGACTATATTGTGACAACAAATTAGCAATAAGTATAGCTCATACTCTTGTACAGCATGATCGCGCTAAGCATATTAAGGTAGATAGACACTTCATTAAGGAGAAACTAGATAGTGGACTCATCTATACGCCATATGTATCTACAAAAGATCAGTTGGCTGATATTTTAACAAAAGGACTGCCAAATAATGTGTTTCAAGACCTGATAAGCAAGCTAGGAATTGAAGATATCCATTCACCAGCTTGACCGGGAGTGTCGAATTTTAGAAAATTTCAGGAAAATATTCTTCATATCAAGATCTGATCCTCTAAGATTCTAGGGATAATTGTTGTAATCTAGAATATTAGATTTCTGATTCTTTTTGTATTTTATATGATTCTGTACAATCCCAATCACGGATTTTATGGGATTTAGGTGATTATGCTTCTCAACCTCTTTTGTATATAAAGCCATGTACATGACATTGAAAGATATGAATGAAATTATTCAAGAATCTTACTCTTTCCACAAGAATGAAATAGAACCACCTTACTTATATGTTATCACAATCAAATTATCGAAAAAAGAAGCAACAAGAACACCTGACCTTTTTCTACTGATTATGTTTATGCAATTTTTGGGGAACTTTACTGTTCGATGATTCAATCAGCATATCAACCTAAAACAAAATGGATTAAAGATTCAAACCTCTTTTGCTTGGACAATCTCTTCTAACAGCAAGGTTCCGTCTAAGGACATTATAGCTTCAATCCCAAAACTCAAACCTGTATAGTATACATGACCAAAAAAGGATGTCATAGAAGACATGAAGCTGAACAATAACTCACCCCTGAGGAAGATAAGAAAAGTGCAAGTACATTAAAATAGAGGAATATGGCTTCAAATAAGTAACAACGAGATATAGAGCATATTGTACTTTAATTAATCATGTCAAACTCTTGAAGAATTTTCTTTCTTTCCATTGGTTGGGTAAATAGACTGGATGGAAGGAGCAAGAGGTATACGTTAAATAATAAGAGGATGTTGGTAATCTGTACAACCAGAAGGATACATGCAATTTCAACCCAACTCTGCACCTAAAACACACACATACATATACATAAACATAATTACGTGTAAACACACACACGTAGATTATACACTTACGGGTTAGCGGGCTAAGGTCGATAAGTGATCACAAGACAGAGACAAGTACAGAGGAAGGATTAAACTCCATACTAAACGGGATTGCAAACCAGCAATACCTTATTCATTTCGAGAAAAAAACATCATTTCAAAGAGACAAACCTGTTTTAAATTTCTCTGGCAGTGTATCAAAGTACAACTTAAATTTGGAATCAGGATTGTGCTTCTCCTTCATGCTCCACAACAATAACATTGTTTCTGCTGACATACCCTCGACTTCTCCCAAAATGGAGTGCTGCCACATAAATAAGACGATTGTTAGCTACTCTTCTTATCAAGAATGTTAGTGGTATCAGTATAAATCAATACACTGTTATCAGCTTTTCATGCCAATAAAGCATGGGAAGAATGGTGTTTTGATCAACATAAGATGCAATTTCTGATGCAGGTTTGAGATATTTTATAATACAAGAAGATGAACTATTGCAGACATTACTTTCAGTGCTTTCAGATAGGATTTTATCTTGATCATTTCTCGAATTAAAGATGGAAGTTTTAAGGCAGCGACACTCATTGTGCATTAAGAATAGACAGATTTTTTATTTTAAATAGATGGGATGAATACTTCAAATTTATCAAGTAAATAGTGCCTTCGAAGAGTGGCTTCCGACCATTGCCCAATTTTATGGGAATGTGGTGACTAGAATAGAGGCAAGAATTATTTAAGTTTGAGAATATATGGTTTGAACATGCTGATTTTACTGAAGCATTGGTGGAACTCCTATGAAGTAGAGGGTCAGCCTGATGTTGTTTGGGCTAAAAAATTAATGCTGCTGAAGAATGATATCAAAAAGTCGAACCGTGAAGTGTTTGGCAGCCTTGAAGAAAGAAAGGGTAAGGCTATGGCAAGACTAGAACAGTTAGATCATAAAAATTTGGAGATACAAGGAGAAGAAGAGAATAACAACAAAAGAGACTCAGGGAACTTGAAGATATTGCTAAAGCTGAGGAAATTTCATGGAAATAAAAATCAAGATGCCTTTGGATAAAACGGGGAGATAAAAATACAAAATTCTTACATAAGCAAGACAATCCTCATAAGAGATATAACTGTATTGATAGAATTGAAATTGATGGAATATTGGTGGAAGAAGGATTCAGTATTATGGAATGCTAGTAATGACAGAAAGTTCTCAGTCAAAAGCTGTTATAATTTGTTAAGGAAAAATGCAAGTCACTGGGAATCTAATTGGCCTTGGAAAGTGATTTGGAGGAACAAAGCTCCTGTAAAGGTTGCATGTTTTGGTTGGACTGCAGCTTGGGAAGCTTGTCTTACCCAAAATAATCTTCAGAAGAGAGGCTTTGTTCTTTGTAGCAGATGTTATTTGTGTGAAGAAGAACTGGAGACTACTAATCACCTTCTCTTGCATTGTAGATATGCTAGAAAGTGCTGGGAGCTCTTTTTCAAGTTATGTGGGATTTCTTGGACCATGCCTCAGAATGTCAGGACCCTTTTGAATGGTTGGCAGCATCAGAAGACACATAAAGCACTTAAACAGATTTGGAGAACCATACCTCTGTGCGTATTCTGGACTATTTGGCTAGAGAGGAATAGAGTTTGCTTTGATGGGCAGAAAGATCATATTTTTAGAATAAAAAATAAGTGTTTGCATAATCTATTTCTTTGGTGTAATAGTAGTATGGTAGATAGTATGGATCATTACATGGACTTTATGGAGTTACTTAGAAAATGTTGTAATTAACTGCATGGATATTCCCAGCAGTTTTGTATTTCTTTCTGGTACCATCTTGGTATTCAGTTAATAAACCTTTACCTTTTCAAAAAAAAAAAAGCAAAATTTATCAGGGAGCATATTGTAGGTTTTTTATGAAAATCTTTTCTCGGAAAATGAAAGATGGAGACCAGTGTGGCAAGATGATGGTTTGGCCAGAGTCTCTGAAGAAGAAAGTGATTGGCTTTCCTTGATGGGTTCAACATGTATTTTTAAGAAACATATGATGCAGAAATTTCTTGAGATTTAAGAATATTTAATATTTATTTTCATATTTATATTTTAGATGTTATATTATGTTCAAATATTTTTCAATTAGATTATCCTTATCTTACCTTAGTTTGTTTATCTTATTTTTAATTATTAATTGTTTTAAGCGGAGTTGTCTGACCAACGTGCAGAGACCTCGACTAATCCAACAGGAGACTCCCCCCCCCCCCCCAACCCCCC